AAATGTAGTTAAGAAAAAGTGAAGTTCTTTTATAAGTAGGCATCTTGAACTTGTGTCTTCATATACTTTGGTCTTCAGTTTGTATATATTTAGGCTCTGTTCACCCTGGCCAAAGCACACCTACAGAAGAGGCCAGATCATTTCCATGCAGTGTTCTGTATGCTTATCTGGTTCTAGTCTTCTATTTCTAGTTTTGTTTTTCTAAAAACTCACTTTTCATGGATTTCCAAGAGTTGTCAACATATGTGGTTGTCTTTTGCTAGCATGGTGAACAAGTGATTCCAGTCATTTAAAGAAGGTCATATATATATATTAAGTCAAATTTTTCTATAATTAAGTTATTGAGTTGGGAATGCAGCTGAGTGATAAACCACTTTCCTTGCATGTAATTCCCAGTGCTGAGAAAAAATAAAGTTATAAGTCTTCTTCATATCATTATTCCTAAATGTTACTGATAGTGTGGTCATTGGAAGAAAGTGAAGTTACTCCATCTCTGTAGTTTTGTGGGACCCATACGCTGCTTAAAATGTTTATTTTAGAAAGTGGCTTTTTCTTTGAATGTAATAATATGTAGGATAGTATCATGGTTTTAGCTAATTGTCAAATTCACTTGACAAAATGGCAGTCAAGGAAATAAGTGGTCAGCCTTACAAGCTTCTTTGAAAAAAAAAAAAAAGCTACACATTTCTTTTTTGACATTTACCTCAGTCTTTTATATGTAAAGAAATTCCCCTTTGAAAAAGTTTCACTGCCTTTAGTTCTAGACTCAAGTGGTAGGGTGCCTGCCTTGAAAGCATAAAGCCCTGAGTTCAAACCCCAGTCTCACCAAAAAAAAAATAATAATAATAATTTAAAAGAAAGATTTCTTTCTTTGCAATAGATCAAGTGGACCTAGTAGATGTCTACAGAACATTTCATCCAACCTCTACACAATATACATTCTTCTCAGCAGCCCATGGAACCTTCTCCAAAATAGATCATATCCTAGGGCACAAAGCAAGTCTCAGCAAATATAAGAAAATAGAAATAATACCATGCATACTATCTGACCACAATGCAGTAAAAGTAGAACTCAACAACAAAAGTAAAGACAAAAAACATGCAAACAGCTGGAAACTAAATAACTCATTACTTAATGAAGAATGGATCATCGATGCAATAAAAGAGGAAATTAAAATGTTCCTGGAAGTCAATGAAAATGAAAACACAACCTACCGGAACCTATGGGACACAGCTAAGGCAGTCTTGAGAGGAAAGTTTATAGCCATGAGTGCATATATTAAAAAGATTGAAAGATCCCAAATCAATGACCTAATGATACATCCAAACTCCTAGAAAAACAAGAACAAGCAAATCCCAAAACAAATAGAAGGAGAGAAATAATAAAAATAAGAGCTGAAATCAACGAAATAAAAACCATACAAAGAATTAATGAAACAAAAAGTTGGTTCTTTGAAAAACTAAACAAGATCGATAGACCCCTGGCAAACCTGACTAAAATGAGGAGAGAAAAAACCCAAATTAGTAGAATCAGGAATGCAAAAGGGAGATAACAACAAACACCATGGAAGTCCAGGAAATCATCAGAGACTACTTTGAGAACCTATATTCAAATAAATTTGAAAATCTAAAGAAATGGACAGATTTCTAGATACATATGATCATCCAAAACTGAACCAAGAGGAAATTAATCACCTGAATAGACCTATAACACAAAATGAAATTGAAGCAGCAATCAAGAGTCTCCCCAAAAAGAAAAGTCCAGGACCTGATGGATTCTCTGCTGAATTCTATCAGACCTTTAAAGAAGAACTGATACCAACCCTCCTTAAACTGTTCCACGAAATAGAAAGGGAAGGAAAACTGCCAAACACATTTTATGAAGCCAGTATTACACTTATCCCAAAACCAGGCAAAGACACCTCCAAAAAGGAGAACTATAGGCCAATCTCCTTAATGAACATTGATGCAAAAATCCTCAACAAAATAATGGCAAATCGAATTCAGCAACACATCAAAAAGATTATTCACCACGACCAGGTAGGCTTCATCCCAGGGATGCAGGGTGGTTCAACATACGAAAATCAATAAACGTAATAAACCACATTAACAGAAGCAAAGACAAAAACCACTTGATCATCTCAATAGATGCAGAAAAAGCCTTTGATAAGATCCAACACCATTTCATGATAAAAGCTCTAAGAAAACTAGGAATAGAAGGAAGTTCCTCAACATTATAAAAGCTATATATGACAAACCTACAGCCAGCATTATACTTAACGGAGAAAAACTGAAACCATTCCCTCTAAAATCAGGAACCAGACAAGGATGCCCACTATCTCCACTCCTATTCAACATAGTACTGGAATTCCTAGCCAGAGCAATTAGGCAAGAAGAAGGAATAAAAGGAATACAAATAGGTAAAGAAACTGTCAAAATATCCCTATTTGCAGACGACATGATCCTATACCTTAAAGACCCAAAACACTCAACTCAGAAGCTTCTAGACATCATCAATAGCTATAGCAAGTAGCAGGATATAAAATCAACATAGAAAATCATTAGCATTTCTATACACTAACAATGAGCAAACGGAAAAAGAATGTATGAAAACAATTCCATTTACAATAGCCTCAAAAAAAATCAAATACCTAGGTGTAAACCTAACAAAAGATGTGAAAGACCTCTACAAGGAAAACTATACACTTCTGAAGAAAGAGATTGAGGAAGACTATAGAAAGTGGAGAGATCTCCCATGCTCATGGATTGGTAGAATCAACATAGTAAAAATGTCGATACTCCCAAAGTAATCTACATGTTTAATGCAATTCCCATCAAAATTCCAATGACATTCATTAAAGAGATTGAAAAATCTACTGTTAAATTTATATGGAAACACAAGAGGCCACGAATAGCCAAGGCAATACTCAGTCAAAAGAACAATGCAGGAGGTATACAATACCTGACTTCAAACTATATTACAAAGCAATAACAATAAAAACAGCATGGTACTGGCACAAAAACAGACATGAAGACCAGTGGAACAGAATAGAGGACCAGATATGAAGCCACACAACTATGAGCAACTTATCTTTGACAAAGGAGCTAAAAATATACGATGGAGAAATAGCAGCCTCTTCAACAAAAACTGCTGGGAAAACTGGTTAGCAGTCTGCAAAAAACTGAAACTAGATCCATGTATATCACCCTATACCAAGATTAACTCAAAATGGATCAAGGATCTTAATATCAGACCCAAACTCTAAGTTGATACAAGAAAGAGTAGGAAATACTCTGGAGTTAGTAGGTATAGGTAAGAACTTTCTCAATGAAACCCCAGCAGCACAGCAACTAAGAGATAGCATAGATAAATGGGACCTCATAAAACTAAAAAGCTTCTGTTCATCAAAAGAAATGGTCTCTAAACTGAAGAGAACACCCACAGAGTGGGAGAAAATATTTGCCAATTATACATCAGACAAAGGACTGATAACCAGAATATACAGGGAACTTAAAAAACTAAATTCTCCCAAAACTAATGAACCAATAAAGAAATGGGCATGTGAACTAAACAGAACTTTCTCAAAAGAAGAAATTCAAATGGCCAGAAAACACATGAAAAAATGCTCACCATCTCTAGCAATAAAGGAAATGCAAATTAAAACCACACTAAGATTCCACCTCACCCCTGTTAGAATAGCCATCATCAGCAAACACCACCAACAACAGGTGTTGGCGAGGATGCGGGGAAAAAGGAACCCTCTTACACTGTTGGTGGGAATGTAGACTAGTACAACCACTCTGGAAAAAAATTTGGAGGCTACTTAAAAAGCTGGACATCGATCTACCATTTGATCCAGCAATACCACTCTTGGGGATATACCCAAAAGACTGTTACTCCAGAGGCACCTGCACATCCATGTTTATTGCGGCACTATTCACAATAGCCAAGTTATGGAAACAGCCAAGATGCCCCACACTGACGAATGGATTAAGAAAATGTGGTATCTATACACAATGGAATTTTATGCAGCCATGAAGAAGAACGAAATGTTATCATTCGCTGGTAAATGGATGGAATTGGAGAACATCATTCTGAGTGAGGTTAGCCTGGCTCAAAAAACCAAAAATCGTATGTTCTCCCTCATATGTGGACATTAGATCAAGGGCAAACACAACAAGGGGATTGGACTATGAGCACATGATAAAAGCGAGAGCACACAAGGGAGGGGTGAGGATAGGTAAGACACCTAAAAAACTAGCTAGCATTTGTTGCCCTTAATGCAGAGAAACTAAAGCAGATACCTTAAAGCAACTGAGGCCAATAGGAAAAGGGGACCAGGAACTAGAGAAAAGGTTAGACCAAAAAGAATTAACCTAGAAGGTAACACCCACGCACAGGAAATCAATGTGAGTCAATGCCCTGTATAGCTATCTTTATCTCAACCAGCAAAACCCCTTGTTCCTTCCTATTATTGCTTATACTCTCTCTACAACAAAATTAGAGATAAGGGCAAAATAGTTTCTGCTGGGTATTGAGGGGGGGAGCGGGAGGGGGTGGAGTGGGTGGTAAGGGAGGGGGTGGGGGCAGGGGGGAGAAATAAACCAAGCCTTGTATGCACATATGAATAATAAAAGAAAAATGAAAAAAAAAATAATAATAATAATTTAAAAGAAAGATTTCTTTTTTTAAAATGGAGAGGCAGTTGGGTGCCAGTGGTTCACACCTAGCTACTTGTGAGGTGGAGATCAGGAGGATCGTGGTTTGAAGCCAGCCCTAGACAATTCCAGAGACCCTATCGCAAAAATACCAAACATAAAACATGGCTGGCGGAGTGGCTCAAGTGGTAGAGCATCTGCCTAACAAGCCTGAGGTATTGAGTTTAAATCCCAGTGCCACCAAAAAAAAAAGAAAAGTGGGGAGCCAGACACCATAGTGTAGTGTACACCCATAATCCCAACTACACATGAGGAGTAAGTAGGAGGGCCAAAGCCAGCCTAAGAAACGAGATGCTATTTGAAAAACAACTAAAGCAAAAAGTGGGCTATTGATGTGGTAAAGTGGTAGAGCACCTGCCTAGCAAGCACAAGGCCCTGAGTTCAAACCCCAGTACCACTAAATAAAAGTGTCTGGGAGGAAATCTACCTTCATATTTTTGTACATCCTAAACATAATTATGTCAGTTTTGATTCATTAACTAGAATTTCCCATTAAATATTTGTTTGCAGGTATATTTGCTTATTTGAATTACCATGTTCCTCGCACAAGACGAGAAATCTTGGAGACCCTAATCAAAGGCCTTCAGAGACTGGAGTACAGAGGCTATGATTCTGCTGGTATTTTCTTTTAATATACTATGGACTTTGCATGATTCTTGAACCCAAATAATATTTTTATTGTTTTTAGGAAGCTAGATTCTAATGTCTGTTTTGTTGTTTTGTGAATCCAAATGTGAACAATTTTTGCCTTTCTCATTTTCTTATGTTTAAAGGGTTTATGTCACTTCAACACTATTACCATTCATGTAGGGCAGTGCTTCTTCTTTGTGTTAAGTGTGTTACTATAAAAAAACAAATCAGATGGGCATTTTCATGGAAATAAATTCTTGAGAGCCTTACTCTGAATTTTTTCTTTCATTTTTTTTCCTCCTGAGATTCTTCTATTTTACATAAATGACAAATCAAGTTAAAATAACTTCCTCTCATAGAGACTGTTTGACTCTAGCTCCCCCTGCATTGGGAGCCCTTAAGACCCTCAGATCCCATGATTCCCTAGGGTCACTCATAAGACTGGACTGGTAGTTGCACTCATGGCTGTGATTTATTACTGCAAAAGAATAAAGCAAAATCAGCAAAGAGTGAAGTCAGGAGGACTTACTTCCTCGTGTTGCTTCTCAACAGACTGCTTTGAAGACAGGAACTGAATCCTTTTCTGCCTTTGTTTTCTTTTTTTTTGTGATGCTGAAGTTGAACCAGGGCTTCAGGCATGCTAGGCAAGCTCTCTAGCACTGAGTTATAATTCCAGGATTATTTTTGTTTTTGTCTCAAGCAGCTCTCATGATTCTTGACACATAATAGGTTTTTAAGTAAATGTTAAATAGATAAGTAAATGAATTAATAAAATGAACATACAATCTTTAATAAAATTTTTGCCTCCTACTGATACTCTTAGTAATACTAAGAGTAATACTATACTCTTGCTTTTCTGCATCTCGATGATTTAGGTGTGGGAATTGACGGAGGCAATGACAAAGATTGGGAAGCCAATGCCTGCAAAATCCAGCTCATTAAGAAGAAAGGAAAGGTGAAGGCACTGGATGAAGAAGTTCACAGTAATGTACTTAGTTTGGGTTTTGTCCCCCTTCCCATTCTCCCCTCCTCAGCAGATACCCCATATTTTGGCACCCATTTGAGAATAATGATTCTTAACATTGAAGGGAGGAAGAAAAGTAGTTTTGTTACTGCTTGACTGACTTTAAATTGTGCTTGAGCTTTACAAATGATCATAGCAACCAGGGAAGGAAATTAGTAAAGTACATTGGCTTCAGTGCAAGCCCAGTATCTTCGAATGAAGTAACTTCAGAACAATCATGTCTGAGGAGGGGCCCTTCATAGGACCAAAGATATTTTTAGTGATGGTCTGGTCTTTCATTTTGTGGTGGTTTTCACTTCAATGATGGCACCAGATGCATGCATTCTGATGCTGGCAATTCAGATATGCTAATGAGAAGCCATAAAGTGCTTCTTTTTCGTAAGAAGGTGGGAGGTCTCTACTTAATAAGGAAGGAAGAAAAATCCTATGTTGAGGTTGCCATGATGTATAATAAGGATGAATCTTCTATTCATAGAATTGTGAAGAAGAAAAAGGAAATTCTTGCTAGTTTTGCTATTGCATCTCAAACTAAAAAAGTTAAGCGTGATAAGTGCTTAATTAAGATGGAAAAGGTATAGGACTTGTGTTTTGTATTACAGTTTCAGGCAGATTGTGTTTTGAAATATATCCGTTATAGATAACGGGGGAGCTACTGTAATTATATTTAATATTGCTCTCTCATCTCCACAGGATTATTAAACACTGAAATTTTTATCTTTTCAGAACAACAGGATATGGATTTGGATATAGAATTTGATGTACATCTTGGAATAGCTCATACCCGTTGGGCAACACATGGAGAACCCAATCCTGTTAATAGCCATCCCCAGCGCTCTGATAAAAATAATGGTATGAACAGATTCTTTGTGGTTTGGAATGATGGTGGAGGGCCAACAGTGGGAGAAGAATGAAGGCTTTTATGTTTTTGTTATTTTAATTTGGAAAATTTTAAACATATTCAGTACACAGAACCTGATCTATCCATCATCCAGATTTAACAGTTATGAAGTACATGAATTAGATTTGTCTATACCTAGATTATTTTGGAAGCCAATAAATATAGTATGTGGACTGATAACTCTTCAGTGTCTTAACTCCGGGTTCCCTTCTCTCTTTTCCGTGTAGTTTATTGTGTTTCCTACAGTCTAGATCTTGCTAATTGAATACATCCCTGATATGTCATTTAACATGTTTTTTTTGTCGCTTATATTTCCTATAAATTGGTATAGTGTTTGTTTACCTCTAGAAATTTGTAATGTTTGGATATTTTTCTTTTGTGTTTTTAGCAGCCATTGGTGATTATTACTGACGCTAATTATTTTTCCTTTTTTGGTACTGGGGCTTGAACTAAGGGCCTTGTGCTCATTGCATGGCCATTTAACCAGTTTTGTTTGTTTTTGTGGTGCTTGGACTTGAACCCAAGGCCTCATGGATGCTAGGCAAATGTTCTATTTCTGAGCTATACCCCTAGTCTCTTAACCATTGTTTTTTTTTGAGACAGGGTCTTGCTTTGTAGCCCAGGTTGGCATCAAACTCACTATGTACCCCAGACTGACCTTGAACTCATGATCCTGCTGTCTTAGCCTCTCTAGTGCTCGGATTGTAGGTGTGAGTGTGTCACCACATCTTATTTAACCAGTGTTCTGAGTCTGTATTTCCACTTTTAAATATAAGCAGATGTACACATTTGAATGTGTGCATGTGTATCCCTTTTGATTTTATAATTTAAATCAAAAGCTGCCCATTGGCCAGGCACACACTTGGGTAGCTGAAACAGGAGGATCCTGAGTTTGACATCAGCCTGGACTACATAGTAAATTCCAGGTCAGGGCTATGTAGTGAGACCCCTGTCTCAAAAAAAAAAACAAAAAGCCAAAAAAGATTTAGTAATAATTTTTCTTCTGATGTTTAACCTTAACTCCACATTGATAATTTTTTCATGTACCTTTTCAGTGGCTACAAATAATAATATTATCAACTTTTGATAACTTTTTCAAAGTTACCATTTAATAAAAAATAGATGAAAAGAATCCCAAGGTCATACTTATTTGGTCTTGGGATGATATTTTAACTTTACAGGAATTATCTGGACCTCAGACAAATAAATTTAACTATGGAACTGAATAATTACGTGGTTATTTTTAGTAAACTCTTAAACTCATTGACTGTAGATCAGGTGACTGATTTAGTTTGAAAGGCCTTCTCTTTAAATTCATATGCAAGAATGAATGAACAGAGAAGTAAGCATGGTAGTTACTTAGGTCAGCCTTCTCATTTTGGAAATGAAGAAACGGGCCCAGTATACTTGCTCCAGTAGTTTAGCCACAGCTGAAATTGATATCTCTAGATTCCAATTTATTCTTTCTCCACCATACTACCCTGTGTGCTTCCACTAAGGAGCATATCTAGTGCTGCTGACCTACCTGATGATAAACTTATGATAAGTAGGTGGTCCTTGATTACACCTAGAAGTATAGTATGATATAAAAGTTTTGACTAGAGAAAAATCTATTGATAATTATAGCTATTTAGAGCATTTATCAGACTTCTAATTTTTTGTCATCAAACTTCTAGAGTTTATTGTTATTCATAATGGAATCATCACCAACTACAAAGACTTGAAAAAGTTTTTGGTAAGTAGAGTAACCTCAAAAGATGCCAGTCTTTGGGAGTACTTTTTTTTTTTTTTTCTTTTCTGTACTGGGGCTTGAACTTAGGGCCTTCACCTTGAGCCACTCCACCAGCCCAACTTTTTGTGATAGGGTTTTTCAAGATAGGGTCCGGTGAACTATTTGCCCGGGCTGGCTTCAAACTGTGCTCCTCTTGATCTCCGCCTCCTGAGTAGCTAGGATTACAGGTGTAAGCCACTGGCCACCTGACTGGGAGTACTTTTTTGTGTGTGTATGTGGTGCTGGAGATTGAGCCCAGGGCCTTGTGCATGCTAGGCAAGCGCTGTGCCACTGAACTAAATCCCTAGCCCTAGAATACTTCTAATGAGAACCATGAGGTAGCTGGAATGTGTAACACTATCTAGGTATGATTGAGTAATTCCTAAGACAGGAATTACTCCTGTCTAACACAGTAGCCACCATCCACAAATGACTGTTGAACTGCTTATGATAGACACTGAATTTTAAATTTAAGTAAATTTTACTATATTTAGCCATTGTGCAGTATCATCAGCAATGAAAGAATTATTATATTCACTATAAAATTGGTATTTTAAGTGTTATATGCTTTATTTTAATTATTTAAAATTTATTAAATTCATATGTGGCATATATTTAAGTGTCTGCTCAGTTATATAGATTCCATGTTATTTTGGGTTTAGTAAAACCAGATGGTAACTTTAATTTTGAACAATGAGTAAGTGCAATATGGTGTTCAAAACTACTAGAAATTAGTTAAGATTTTTGAGGGATAAATTCTGTAGAAAAAATATGGATATCATGAATATTTTCTTAAATGTCTTTTTTTTTTTTTTTTTTTATACAGGAAAGCAAAGGCTATGACTTTGAATCTGAAACAGATACAGAAACAATTGCCAAGCTTGTTAAATACATGTATGACAACTGGGAAAGTCAAGACATCAGTTTCACTACGTTGGTGGAGAGAGTTATCCAACAGCTGGTATTAAACCACACTCGTAAAGATAATTATGCCAAAAATAATCAAGAGGAATGTTCTTAAAACTAATTCTAAAAAGCAGGAACTGTACTAATTTCTTGAGTATTTTTTTGCTTTTATTTCCTATACATAGAATAATTCACTTGAATAATTTTGAGAGACTATTGTTTGACCTGTCCTCCCCTGCACTTAAAATTCTACTAATTCACTATAGTTTGGTGTCATGAGATTGAAAAGTAAGTTTGTCCATAAACTATAAACTTACATATGAATTCATCTCACCACACACAAATGTGTAGTCAGCACATACAATGAAGGATTCATCACTCTCTTGCTTTCAATGAATAACTTGGCACAAGGGCACCTTCAGTGAAATTAGTCTTTATTCTGAGATAATGCTGCATATCTTTGAGCCAGCATAATCAGCTATTTTACCTTTTGGGGATTTTTTCTCTGTTCCTGTACCTCCAGAGTGTTTTCCAGCCTAAGAGAAAAGCAGTATTCCTTTAATCCCATCTCATTTGGCTTAGTTAAAGATTAAAGTCATGAAAGATCCATAAAAGTTCAATTCCATAGTGATGCCTACACCTGCCTCCTCAATTTATAACTAACTTTCCCATTTAAAAGCCCTTTACTTCCCTACTAAGATGAAACCCCTCCACCTCCACCCAAACCTTATCATGTCTGCAGCAGGAGGAGTTAGGAAGGCAGAGAATATAGAGGTCTGTGCTTCCATTACCTGAGACAGAGTAGGGTGCCTTCCCAGCCTGCTTTTGTTTCTGATAGGCTTTCCCTTCCAATTGCTGTATAGTCCAGTTCATGTCTTATAGAGATTCTGTACTCTCCTTCTTCCCGTTCTTCCTTTATCTATTCTTCTTAGACCCTGTCCTTGAGGAGACTGGGTTGATGGGGGATAGTGTGGTGTGCATGTTTATAACTGTGATTGTGTATGTATCATATACATGATACACAGTATTTTATAGCATATTAGGTAACAACACATAATAACATTTATATAATATATAATACATAAGTGTGGTATATGTTTTTTTGTGATACCACTCGAACCACACCTGCAGCCCTGTATGTATTGTATATATTCATGTCTCTAATATCCATGTTAGAAAGAATGGAAGTTAACAGTGATGTGCAATTACTAGGGCAGAGAATGGGTTTTGCATGTTGACCTAAGGATCTTTTTAAATTCTATCCTCCCCCTACTAGTTCCTCATGTAAGAGATATGACATATTATTGAGAAATGTTGGTAGCATGTACAAAGGTGACTTTTCAACTGGTGTGTTTTTGAAGATGTTATCTATTAAGCATATGCTGAAATTAGGCTTAATTACAAGAGTTGGTGTTGTGTATACCAAATCTTAAGTGTCTGTCAGAAATTCATTCTTGCTTATAAACTATTGCAAAAGAATACTTTTTTTTTTTCAATTCAACTGCTTCATTTTATTTATTTTATTTATTATTTAAAAAAATTTTTTTATTCATATGTGCATACAATGTTTGGGTCATTTCTCTACCCTCCCCCCAACCACCCATTACTACCCACCCTGCCCCCTCCCTCTCCCCCCCACCCCCTCGATACCCGGCAGAAACTATTTTGCCTTTATCTCTAATTTTGTTGAAGAGAGCGTATAAGCAATAATAGGAAGGAACAAGGGTTTTGCAAAAGAGTACTTGTATGAACAAGAAATTTTTGTGCTGAAGCCAGTATGTTTTCAGCATTTCATATTTGATAATTGATTGCAATAAATATTGCTAATGTATTTGTTTTTCTTCCATAGGAAGGTGCTTTTGCACTTGTATTTAAAAGTGTTCATTTTCCTGGGCAAGCAGTTGGCACAAGGTACATATAAATCTAATAAGAGCCAACATTTGACTTACAAATCAAATCTTTTGCTTTAAAGGCTCTACCTTTTCTTAGAGATACTTTTGTGAGCATATTTATTCTCATATACTCCTCCTTATCTATTGTTGTGTCATTCTTTCATTTAACAAAATCCTTTAATGAAGCAAATACATTTTTTGTGTTTATGACTGGCCTTTGATGGGACACTATGGTTACTTTGTGAATTTGGATAGTGAATATTATTTAATTTATGGCTCAAAGCATTAAGTTTCTCCATAATTTTTAGAAATATTCCAGACAGATTTCCTAGATAATTGTATGATCACTGCTTTTGCTAAGGTATTTAGAACTGATCATGAAGTAAGGTTAAGATTTTGTGTGAGAGAGAAGTACTTTTAACCTGAAGACAAGGTGATTAAGGAGAAAGTACCAGTCATTCATATATTGGCAGTCTGTATACAATTGAAAAATAGTTCATTTTACATTAAAAAGGAGAACAGTGAAAAATGCAGTGTCATAGAATAGGGGATACAAATTTTTTCTGGAATGGGCCAGATAGTGGCCCATGTAACTGGGCCATGTAGCTGTTTTGTAGCTGCTCAATTTACTGTTCTCATGAGAGAGCAGCCATGGGTCATACATGAAGGAATGAGCCTGGGTGTGTTTCAGTAAGACTTTATTTAAAACAATTTTATCCATTGAAAAATGACAATTAAAAACTAATAGATAATTGTGGCCTGTGAGTCTTTGTTTGCTGACCCAGTTTTTTTGTTATATCTAAAGTTGTGTTTAGGGGAAAATTCAAACATTATTTGAAAAATATTAAATTTCAAATTTAAATGAATTTTAAGTTTATTAAATTAAAATTTTATGTTTTGTACATTATTTAAAAAGAGATTCTAATTGTGATTCATCTTTCATTTATAGGCGAGGTAGTCCTCTATTGATTGGTGTACGGAGTGAACATAAGCTTTCTACGGATCATATTCCAATACTGTATAGAACAGGTAGAACTCATTCCTGCCTTGGGGAAAGTGTATAAATGGAGTGTAGTAGATATAAGAATTCTTTCCCTCAAATTAAAATAAATGCTCTTTCATCAGATCACACAATGTATCCATATATGTGTATTGATATAAACCTACATATGTATATATATACACACATACACATATACCCTTCTGTCTAAACATGGAAAAGGTTTGTTTTTGTGAGTTTTCTGACGAGTAGAACTTTTTTCTGTTGTATATCCTTAGCTAGGACTCAGCTTGGATCACAGTTCACACGGTGGGGATCACAGGGAGAAAGAGGTGGGAAATGCACCCTTTTTTGTTGATTCTCTACTAATTTGTTCTTGGAGTGAATGAATGTGCTGGGCCTTTAAAAATGTGCTTATTTTCTGGGAAACATTTTGACATTTATATTTTTATAATTTGAGGAATATATTTGTCTGTCTGCTTTGACATTTAGAAAATTGCTTTTAATAATTCATTTTATTAAAATCTGAAGTTTGAACAAATAGTTAAATTGTAAGTTTCCATTTTTAAAATTATGCAAGATATATACTTAGATTAGCAAAGGAGCATTGTGTGCAAGGTTATTATAGTTTGAACTAAGTGGTAGCTACTTGAATAATTTAGCCTAGCTTTTAACTGAAATGCGCTTAAATGGTCTTTATTTTATGCATGGCATTTTACTTTTAGATTTACATTTAAAATTTGATTGGCTTTAATTTGAAGTTTGGAGTTCTTTTATTGTTTATGTTTAAATTTATTTATTTGTGGTGCGGGATCAAACCCAGAGTCTTGCACATACTAGGCAAGTGCGCTCTACTTCTGACCTATAGCCCCAGATCTGAAGTTAATTTTTTTTTTCTTTTGTTCATATGTGCATACAATGTTTGGGTCATTTCTCCCTCCTTCCCCCCGCCCCCTCCTTTACCTACCCAGCCCCTGAAGTTAATTTTTAAATACATCTTTTAGCTATACAAATTCTGTACCAATTTGTATAATTACACAGAAAAGTAAAACAATGACAATGTACTCTTTATATTAATTTTTATTGCTAAAAATTTTCCCATGTACAATGGGTGGTAGGTTTAGGAAATTGAAACCTATATTATTAATATGTAATCCT